AAACATGGTATTTCTAATGAACAATTACACCATGCACACTACCGGTAAATCAAGTTTTAGGTTGCTAAAATAGTGTTAATTGTTTCATATAGATCAAAACATGCACATGTGTCAGCATGATGTTTATGTATCTTTGTGTATAACTATTTTGTTCACGTACGACAATGTTTCAAACTCATAATGTATGGTATGAAACTTAATAAAATACTTCAACTTGAATAATGTCAGGCTTTCTGAAAATTATCAAGTCACTTTCATATCACAAAATCTGCAAGTTCTCAGGAATTTTACTTTCATGACTATACAACATGTACAAATTGGCATTTCACAGTGATACAATACTACACAATGGCATTCTCCCAACATGATGCCCTCTAACATGTCTAATATTTACGATTCTAGACTGCATGTATGTTAAAAATATATTCAACCCCTTCCTCGGCTGTGCAGCACAGTCTTCCATCAATAATAAAAACAATTCAGCAAAAAATAAATGTAGGATTCAAGAAACTACTCCTGCGAATAACAGTGAACACATCCAGCAGTTATAATGAACTACAAACCTCACCTTTTCTGAAAGAACATAATAAGCGTGGGGGGAAATCTTTCGATTTTCCGAAAAAGTAAACACCGGATACAAGTTCATAACGATATTATCCTCTAAAACCAACCTACATTTGAAATTCCGGAATACTACAACACGTATTTTTTTTTTAACATGATCGGGACGATGCAGAAAAACACATTCTAATAATCATACGAAAACATGCAAGATAAATACAATGGTACAAAATGCATGCGGCCGTTTTAAAAGCAATTAATTATACGTATTACAACCTAAGCTGAGAATGATTTACAAGGCGCTTTTTCAAAATAATTATAACTGTACAATGGTCGATTTGAATTTTTGGAACGCGCCGTTTTGACCCAACTTTATTCTTACGATTGCAGACAATAAAAACAAAAATAAAGGTGCTCTGAACTGTAAGAAATAACTACCTGTATCTAATCTTTCGTTTGAGGTGCCTTTCTTCTGTGTAGAGTCAAAAGACCTTCTCATCTCTGTTGTTTTTCTTGAGCAAGTTCTTGGTGTTTTCTTCGCAATTTTTTCCCTCTTTCTTCTACTAAAAATCTAACCAATGAGAGAGAAGCATTCTATCGCGATACGCCACCTAGTGATTGAATGTCAGTCTCTACGGAAAATTCCCCTTAGTTTTTGCATTTCTCTTTTGGCAATATTATTTTTTACGTTTTATATTGCAGACGTCCTTGCATTTATGACAACTGAATGAACCTGTCAGTTTTAAATGCTTAGATAAAATTGATCATGGAATCGAAGTTGGGTATAAATTAAACCGTATTTTAAGTCCCTTATTATCATGGTTATCATGATTATATGGTAATTGTTGAAACGGACTGTCCAGATTTTTACAAATAGATTGAAAATCATATACACATGTACTTAGATTATTGTGTAAAAAAAAAAGGTATACAAGTCAACAAAGTTATGCTGACATGGCATATCTATTATCCACATACAAGAGCGATTTTACCCCCCCCCCCCTTTCTAGTAAGCGATACGAATTAGCTGGTTAAAACTTTATAACAAGTCTGCAAATTTATGTTTATATGTTTTTTAAAATCTTAATCTACGGGATACATTTTTATTTGTGTCCTAAAATAGAATAGATAAATTAACAAAGTACATGTAAGTTTATAATCATTGTTATACAGTGAATTATATAATGATTAATTTTGACCTTCGTAACTTAAATAAAACGAAGAAAAATATTACAAACTATATTAGAATGTGTTGTACGAGTCTCTGTCTCTGTCTCTCTCTGGTATTGCTTTTTATACCTTTGTGAAACTCAAAAGCAAAATTGGAGTTATAAGAATTATTAATCAATTGTTAAAAATTTCCATCTCAGAAAATATCTACATGTACAATTTTAAAATAGTAAATACCGCTACTTCTCAGCATTAGACGATGAACAAAAAATTATTGGTTATTACTCAATACAGAAGATACGGAAACTCTTAATTTTGCGGGCAAATTTATAAATGATATCATGTAATAGTGGTCATAGTCCTTTACACATGTCATGTATATTGTTGTTTACTAAATGTATTTATCTTTTTTTTTTAATCTTTTTCTTATTATTGTCATAACCTCACACTTTTCTGTTTTGGACTCTAAATTAGAAATAAAACGTTGTTTTATTGTGTACTTAGAAATAACCTAGAGAAAAAAGTTATGAAATAAAATTCATAGACTTTGTTTTCATTAGGTTGCGTGTCATCGATCTCTAAATATTTTCAATATTTGAAGTTAATACAATGGTGGCAAACAAGGAATACCATTAATTGTCGTTTTTTTTTTTTGTGATTGCCGATTTCTTTGTGGAGAAATTGTAAAATAATATTGAAATTTTTTAAATAGTCTATTGAACTAGCAAATATTCTCCTTATACCTGTAGATTAGTTCTATTATTTATTAGATTGATCTATAGATAAATATCTGAGAGGTTTTTCTTTTTTTTTCTTTTAATCACCAACACATAATAAACTTAATAGCTTGTATGAAACATTTTATATAAAATATTTTATAAAACAATCTTATTTGTTTGATTTAGGTGAAGTTTTATATATATAGTGTGTGTGGTATTTTTTTGTTTTTTAATTTTTAAAATTTGAATGTTCAGACACCTTGGGGTCATTACTAGTGACTATACTGTGTATACCATATACTGCATGTATATATTACGCCTGGTCACAGCCCATTGTTCCTCTAAGGTAGAAAAACCTCTCAATCCACATAGAACATACAAAAAATACACCAACACGGTAGCAGGTGTCTTCGCGACACGTGTCTCCCCACCTGTGGCACGTGAGGACAGGTGCCCACGAGTGGGGTTCAAAGAAAAGGATTGAAAATTTGATCAACTTACATACTACTTTTATTAAAAAAAAAGTGTTTTCTAAATCACAAATTTAGCACATTATATATACATCTCAATACAAATACAATTGAACATATTACTAAAAAGTATAGGTACCGCGTTTTCAGTAATATTGCATTAATTAACATCACGAAAGCAAGATATTTGAAAAAATAAATAAATAAATAAATAAATAAGCCTACACATAATTTGCAATCTAATTAAAATGAGATCTTCCATTCGCTCCCAAGGTATTGTTTCACAAAAACAGACTTTTTACATTAATATTAAGTCTTCCCCTTGCGAATAAGCATTTGGGTAACAAATGAGACGATTTAATTTTAATTAGATTGACATAATATGCTGCAGATCTTAAGAACCATGGCATCAAATGTTCAGGACATGTTTTCTTGCAATATTTACCCGCGGCTTTCGAATAAGATTAACGCCTGTTAAACGAATAAAATGTATTCATGAGAACGGAGATAAAAATACATATATGTACGAGATATTAAATCAATGTATTAAATTATAAAAACAACTACAATGTAGTAACTATTGCACTTTATATCTATGTTGAACACTGAATAGTAAAAAGGGCTTCCTAGTCAGTATGTGTTGTTAACAAATTGAATTATTGAAATGATAATTTTCCATTCAGGAATATAGATACCGGTACATGTATAAGGAATATAAATGCAAAACTTGCTATCTCAGATAATGTAAACGTTCGCTCTCGTAATTATCTGTATTTCATGCACGATGAAGACACACTAATTTTCTTTTTTAAACAAATTAACATTAAATGTAATTGTAGACAGAGGAATTCGAACCTCCATATATAACCTTTGATTTGTTCTCATACGGAAGTACTGTAATATTTTGTGAAAATAATGTATGTTATGAAAAGAATTAATTCCCGAGGGGGAGTCTCGAGTTGGGTAATGTAGAAAATCCTGGTGAGAGGAATCGATTTTGTTTAGAAATGATATTTTTTTTAATTCCAGCACAATATGAAATAAATTAATATGAAGCAAGGATCTTGTATAAAGTGCTTATCATTGATATCAATATCGGTATGTGTCAGTTTACACAGAGCACATCTCAAAATCTGAATATGAACTAGTAGTTATCTGGTATTTAAAAATAAAACCATTTTTTAAAATGTATAAGTAAATAAAAATATGATATGGGTTGATTTTTCTACTCTTTAAAAAAAAAAAAATATAATAAAAACAGTTTCAGTTCGGTTTTAGCATGCGAAAACCATACAGAATCAAAATCAATTATAGTAAAGATAATATGAGTTGATTTTTCTACCCTTTTGAAAAAAAATAATAGAAAAAAATTCAGGTCGGTTTCAGCATGCGGAAACCATATGGAATCGAAATCAGTAGTAAAAAAGTCATTTGAATTGATTTTTTTTACCCATTTGAAAAAAAGAAAAGAAAAAGTTTCAGTTCGGTTTCAGCATTGCGGAAACCATAGGAATCGAAATCAATAGTTTCCGGAAATCATGTGTAAACCTACTGAAACTAAAAAGTATCGTTAAATTGACATTTCATTAAATTTTACATTGGTTTCCGTTTTGCGGAAACTATTTGGAAACAAACCTAATAGTTTCAGCATACGGAAACCCTACAGAAACTTGCTGAAACTATTATATTTCCGCATTGCGGAAACCATACACGAAACTTCAACGCCAAGTTTCAGCAAGGTTTCCATATAGTTTCAGTTTTGCGGAAACTGGACTTTTCACCCAGTGATAGATAAAATAAAATATTTATAAATTCAAGAGAGAAAACAGGAGGAGAATGAATGATGGCAAAATATCACATGACGGGAACTGAATTTTATGAATGAAGATTTTAAAAAGTTACTTGTAAGTTGTATATGTTATATCTGTGTATTCTACCTGGCTGTGTGCTTCAAAAGGGGGGGGGGGGGGTCGTCTTGAACATAGTAAATAGCCATAACGTTTGAACGGTAAGTACAAGGGCTTTCGTATTTCAAATATGTAATCCTTGTGAAAAGAACTTTTATTGTATACGACGAACTTTGACCCTTTGACCTGGACCTTGGAGAACACATGTGTACATCTGAATCTTTTTTTCTGTTTCGTTTCTATGGCAACTGTGAGCGACTCATTACAATTATTTTGAAAGTAGAAATCACTTTGACACATTGCAAGGAATAAACATTGAAAGTTTCAAAACGATTGCCTGAGTAGTTATTGAGAAAATCGAAATTAAAGAATTTTAACTCTCACCTGGTTTCCATGGTAATAATCAATTATTTGAAAATTTTAAATGCGTAGTACACAACTACAGATACTAATCCTTAAAATAAGAAAAGTTTCATGACGAGCGTTTAAGGGACCAGAGAGAACACTCTCGGACAAAATTTGTCGCTTTTTACAGGTTTCCATGGCAACGGTAGACATATTGGAACTGAATGACCTCACTGCACAACTACAACCAGTGATCGTCCTTTGAGGAAAGTTTCAGGAAGATTGTCCCAGCCATCTCCGAGAAACAGCCTGGATAAAAAAAACATGCGTACAATATCAATATGTCGTCCCCGACTTCGTTCGGGGCGACATAATAACTCCTGAATTTTTCTCATCAATAACTCCTGAATTTTCCCCTTCAGTTCGAGTATTTCTGCATTGCAGAGAGCTGATGTATGTTATGAGTTGATAAATCATGTGTAAACTTTCTCAGTTTAGCGGAATCATGAACATTTTCGGCGAGATGAATGTTTTGTATACAGTGGTGATCAAGGCTTCGCGAACCTTCAGGAGCGGATCAAAAGATTTTTGAATGAATAAAAACTATGAAAATGACGTACCAATTTTTTAATTTATACTTGCACTATCTAATGAAATGAATAATATACAAGTGATAGATATACAAGAAAACGCGAAATGATAATAAATGCAGCTGACAATCGTTATTTTTTTTATATATAGATAAAATAAAATATTTATAAATTCAAGAGACAAAACAGGAGGAGAATGAATGATGGCAAAATATCACATGACGGGAACTGAATTTTATGAATGAAGATTTTAAAAAGTTACTTGTAAGTTGTATATGTTATATCTGTGTATTCTACCTGGCTGTGTGCTTCAAAAGGGGGGGGGGGGGTCGTCTTGAACATAGTAAATAGCCATAACGTTTGAACGGTAAGTACAAGGGCTTTCGTATTTCAAATATGTAATCCTTGTGAAAAGAACTTTTATTGTATACGACGAACTTTGACCCTTTGACCTGGACCTTGGAGAACACATGTGTACATCTGAATCTTTTTTTCTGTTTCGTTTCTATGGCAACTGTGAGCGACTCATTACAATTATTTTGAAAGTAGAAATCACTTTGACACATTGCAAGGAATAAACATTGAAAGTTTCAAAACGATTGCCTGAGTAGTTATTGAGAAAATCGAAATTAAAGAATTTTAACTCTCACCTGGTTTCCATGGTAATAATCAATTATTTGAAAATTTTAAATGCGTAGTACACAACTACAGATACTAATCCTTAAAATAAGAAAAGTTTCATGACGAGCGTTTAAGGGACCAGAGAGAACACTCTCGGACAAAATTTGTCGCTTTTTACAGGTTTCCATGGCAACGGTAGACATATTGGAACTGAATGACCTCACTGCACAACTACAACCAGTGATCGTCCTTTGAGGAAAGTTTCAGGAAGATTGTCCCAGCCATCTCCGAGAAACAGCCTGGATAAAAAAAACATGCGTACAATATCAATATGTCGTCCCCGACTTCGTTCGGGGCGACATAATAACTCCTGAATTTTTCTCATCAATAACTCCTGAATTTTCCCCTTCAGTTCGAGTATTTCTGCATTGCAGAGAGCTGATGTATGTTATGAGTTGATAAATCATGTGTAAACTTTCTCAGTTTAGCGGAATCATGAACATTTTCGGCGAGATGAATGTTTTGTATACAGTGGTGATCAAGGCTTCGCGAACCTTCAGGAGCGGATCAAAAGATTTTTGAATGAATAAAAACTATGAAAATGACGTACCAATTTTTTAATTTATACTTGCACTATCTAATGAAATGAATAATATACAAGTGATAGATATACAAGAAAACGCGAAATGATAATAAATGCAGCTGACAATCGTTATTTTTTTTTTATATAGATAAAATAAAATATTTATAAATTCAAGAGACAAAACAGGAGGAGAATGAATGATGGCAAAATATCACATGACGGGAACTGAATTTTATGAATGAAGATTTTAAAAAGTTACTTGTAAGTTGTATATGTTATATCTGTGTATTCTACCTGGCTGTGTGCTTCAAAAGGGGGGGGGGGTCGTCTTGAACATAGTAAATAGCCATAACGTTTGAACGGTAAGTACAAGGGCTTTCGTATTTCAAATATGTAATCCTTGTGAAAAGAACTTTTATTGTATACGACGAACTTTGACCCTTTGACCTGGACCTTGGAGAACACATGTGTACATCTGAATCTTTTTTTCTGTTTCGTTTCTATGGCAACTGTGAGCGACTCATTACAATTATTTTGAAAGTAGAAATCACTTTGACACATTGCAAGGAATAAACATTGAAAGTTTCAAAACGATTGCCTGAGTAGTTATTGAGAAAATCGAAATTAAAGAATTTTAACTCTCACCTGGTTTCCATGGTAATAATCAATTATTTGAAAATTTTAAATGCGTAGTACACAACTACAGATACTAATCCTTAAAATAAGAAAAGTTTCATGACGAGCGTTTAAGGGACCAGAGAGAACACTCTCGGACAAAATTTGTCGCTTTTTACAGGTTTCCATGGCAACGGTAGACATATTGGAACTGAATGACCTCACTGCACAACTACAACCAGTGATCGTCCTTTGAGGAAAGTTTCAGGAAGATTGTCCCAGCCATCTCCGAGAAACAGCCTGGATAAAAAAAACATGCGTACAATATCAATATGTCGTCCCCGACTTCGTTCGGGGCGACATAACTAGATGAGATCTCGTTGCGAGCAACGAGTAGGTCTTCCGTTGAATTTCTCGATAAGATGAGATGTGATTTTAACTGAGATATTCGTTAAAAGAGAATGACATTAAGTTTTCCTTCATTAATTTTAAAGTTTCTGTTTTTTATCACGATATTCTGAGCATCTTTTGTTCAATATGGCTTATAAAAATACCCCCTCTTTTCGAAACATAATGCATAAAAAATATATCATTTTGGTCCCTTGCAACCACTTATTACGCAACATATGATCAAAATTTTATAAGATATTGTTGCAAATCGTTAAGATGAATATCTATGCTTCTCATGATGGATACTTATCAAAAAATATTGAACATTAGACAGTTATAGATAAAAGACTTTTGGACCCTCTCAACCCCTAATTTGCGGGGTCAGCCCCATTTTCTTGATATCAAATGAATGGTCTTGTGATTTTGAAGATTTTTTGTTCAACAATTATTCAGAGATTTCTGTTCGTTGTGGAGATATGTTAAATGGAAATATTTAAGGGCCACTCCTACAAGTCCTTAATGGGACCGTTTTACAAAAATTCAAAGTATGCATATTGTTTAGAACATTATTTTGACCATCTTTTGTTCAATATTGCTTATCAAAATATTCCCCCTTTTTGAGATATAAAGCGTCAAAGATGTGACATTCTGGCCCCTTGTGACCCCTTATTACGTAATATATTATTAAAATATCATCATATATTGTTGCAAATCGTTAAGATAAATACTTTTGCTTCAGTAATGTATAACAAAATATTGATCGTTAGAGAGTTATAGATAAAAGACTTTTGGCCCCTATGAGCCCCTAATTTGAGGGGTCAGCCCCATTTTCTTGATATCAAATGAAAGGTCTTGTGATTTTGAAGATTTTTTGTTCAACACTTATTCAGAGATTTCTTTTTGTTGTGGAGATATGTTAAATGGAAATATTTAGGGGGCACTCCTACAAGTCCTGAATGGGGCCGTTTTACAAAAATTCAAAGTATGCATATTGTTTAGAACATTATTTCGACCATCTTTTGTTCAATATTGCTTATCAAAATATTCCCCCTTTTTGAGATATAAAGCGTCAAAGATGTGACATTCTGGCCCCTTGTGACCCCTTATTACGCAAGATATGCTTAAAAGTTTATAATATATTGTTCCAATTGGTTTAAAATTTAAAAATATCGAAAAATCGATCAGAAAAAATGATAAAATTTTTTGGTCACACGGGGGATCGAACCCGGGTCGCCCGCGTGACAATCCAACGCGCTAACCATTTAGCCATTGAGATCGCCGCTTCGCGTTTTCAAATGCAAATATCTCGAGATTGGCTTTTTCGATTTTCAAACAAATTACATATTTCGCTTCTGCAAAAGGGTCTCTATTCAATTCTAAAACAAAAATATTAAAAAAGAAAAGTTGAAAAATTGCGATTTTTAAATTCGCTTCCGGTATCGACCGGAAGTACTGACCACGCACGGCAAGGCGATTCTGCAACGCTATAAGTCATGAACTATCATCTCCAATTAATCTTCAGTTCATATCTTAAGAAGTTTTCGCTACTAAATCAAGACAAAATTGCATTTTAAAATCAGGAAATTGTCCATATCTCACGACCGGAAGTGACGACGTCAACGAAAAAAATTTCCAATAAGGTTCAGATCAGTACCTATCAGATGTGAAAGTTTCATGAGAATCGGCCCAGTAGTTTACGAGAAATCGCGTGCACAAAATCGGTAAGAAAAATAATAATAATAATAATAGGGAAAAAGAAACCGAAGAATAACAAGAAGGTCTTCCGTTGGAGACGGAAGACCTTAATAATAATAAGAAACAGAGTAAAAACAATATGTTCCCCAACTTCGTTTGGGGAACATAATTAATGAGTTCAATGTAGGAAGGCTATCTGATCAAACAGTCTTAACTGTATCCTTTGGGGATTAGACAGAAGAAATGCTGGTCAGTTTATAGCATATGTCATTTGATGGCCAGCCTTTTCTTTTCAAAAGTAATTTGGTATAGATTAAGGTGTTAAGACTAATTTGATATTGTTTGATATGATGGGCATTTGACATGGTCTTACACAACCAGCATAGAATGATGTAGTATTTATTATAATTAATGCCTACATCACAGGGAATGGATAAATATTTGAAGGAATGGAAAAATCATGGAAATCTTAGAATCAAGGTTGACATGATTTTCTTGCACGCTAAACTGTTCAAGAAAATTGTATTTTTTTTGACGGGCGTATCATGCTGTGGCGCGGCACTTTATTGAATTTTTCATCTGTTGATAGATGATTCTTTTATAGTGCGAGTAATTATTAAACAAGAAAAATTATTCGAATGTGGCATGAATCTTGGAGCATTTTCACACAAAAAAACCAACATTTTAATTATTGACCTGTCTCATAATATTTTAGCAATCTATTGATAAATCGGCTTACTGTCATAGAGAAAACTGAAATATTTCCCCCAATTTCTAATTTGCTAAAAAATACGCTTAATTAGAAATACTAGATAAGTCATATGGTAAACATGTTACAATTTTAATGTATAAATTTGCTCTCTAAACCATCTCTTCACGATTTTAAAACCCTTATCTCAAAAAAGAGCATATAGCTGCAAGGTGGAAGGATGTAAAAGGAGTATAATCGAAAACACGGTTCCGTCCCCATGGACACGCCTCTCTCTATAGATCTGAAATCATTAAACCAATTGTGATGTTCTTTGGACAGAGAGAACTTAGCAGAACCTATTTGCAACTAATAGGGAATAACTCATTCTCTAACCAATATTTAAAAATAAAGATTTGTACTTTGCCTTTAAGATGGGCGTGTTCTGTGACATTGCTGCTGTAATAATACGTGAACTGAGTGCTTGTAGTAGACACTGGACAGAAAGTCGACACAGAAGTGTATACACTTAGCCACAGAAAAATTTATTTTATCCTTAGATGTTGACTGCATGTGCAGAGCAATGACAGCATCACGTTAATCTTGAAGTAAAAGTAAACAGGTAAGTACAAACAGTTTCTGACAAAAAATTCATTTTCTTCCTTAAAAAATTAAATTAAATCCGCATATGAAAATTGAGCTAGAAAACAAAATTGGTTTCTAGATTTTAGAGTGTTAAATCTCTGACTTAAATTGTTGGATTCTACCATCTCAAAGCTTAAAATGCATAGTCGTTTTTGAAACTGCAAAAACAGGCAGAAAAAATAAATTATACATGTGAATTTCATAATTTAAAAAATATGAATACTACGTTTAAGGTGTAAAACATCCATGTATTAATCATTATGCGTTGATGTTTTTTGGTATTTGAAATTGAGAGCTATTATTAATTTCTGAAATATTTTAACACGATTTATTTAAATAATCGGTGACTGTATGGTATGAATTGACAAGTTTATATTAACGTGATTAAGGATGAAAAAATATATTGTATCATATTGTTGGTAACTCTCTCTCTCTCGCTCTCTCTCTCTCTCTCTCTCTCTGCGTCAATTTGCAAATCTGGACATCGGGTTGCCACCCAAATCAATAAATAAAAGTAATCAAGTTGATTTTACAGTATAGGGAGTTTTTTTTAACCAATTAATTGTTTGGAGATGAGCCTATGAAAATATAAGGTTAGGTTATTTGGTTTCATCTTCTTTTGTTTGAAATTTATTCGATATTGTTAACTAAAGCTTCTCCTGAACCACTCCAATTGTCTTTGGGCATGCATTCCAAACAAAACATTCATTGGAAAATAGATAGGTTTATGGAAATATCTTATCAACAACTCCGATTTTTTTTTTTCGAAAGAGGTTGCTAACGATCGAGCAAGGCTTAAAAGATGAATTAAGCTCATATTTTATCTGCTCTTAATTTATTTGATCCCAAGCTTCTTTTCACGTACTTCATTGATATTTTCGCCATCTTTCATCTTTTTGTTGCCTTCAAATTCTCAGTACAGTCCTTCTGAAATCTCTGAAATTTTATATTTTTTTTCCAAGAGGTTAGAAGAGTCAAATGATGGAGTTGAGGTTTAATTAAGATGCATTTAATTAGTACTGTATATTAATTGAATTGTTTTATCTCTGACGATCAGGACGTACACGGGATTTTCCATTTCCGTGCTGCTTCCTATTAATTATGCTCGTATTATGAAAACTGCCAATCTGTCAGCACTCGGATCTGATAAACATTGAATATCAATATCGCCGTGTCGGGTATAGATAATGATTCGTTGAATACATGTATATTATTTGTATTACGGATTAGATTTTCATTGATATATTCATTATATAAAGAAATAATGAAAAAAAATATACAAGTATACAACAATATTGACAGACCAATACTTTGTACATGATCATCCAATACCATAGGATATTAAATCCTTTCAATCACATTAAATCTATTTAGCCGGGCTCATTGCTCGTAGAGCAATGCCCGGCTATTGCGACGGTGAGCAACGGGAAATGCTGCTTCTTCACCGCCAAATTGAGTTTACGAGTAAAAATATAGTACGTACGCCCAGCCGCTGTTGAGAAAACAAAATCCATTCAAACATCTAAGAAATAGTAAATCGAATATTTTTATCAAAATATTAAATTGTTTAATATATTTTTTCCTGGCTCCTTTGACTAATATTTTACAAAGCAATTCAAAAGATGCGAAAGGTTTTCACCAGGTATCCCTGTCTGCGTCATATTCTATAAATAAAGGTTGTACTATCAGGCTAACACAAATGCAGGGAACATTATTAATGACTTGATACAAAACTCCCCACTGAGGACACATCAGTGCATAGTCGTTTGACCTTAATTAATCTTGCTACATCGGTGTTTATTTACTTCTGTTTGTATATAAAACCCCGAAACGATACATGTGATAAATATTTTACGCTGTTATTTTCTAGCTTTATTTTACATAATTTTAAAAACTTTTTAATTCAGTACATGCCATTGAGATATTTTTGTGTGTAACATATCCTCTAACCGTCTGAACTTGATTTTAAACTGTCACCACGGTCATTGTTCATTACCCTGTAAATGAGCCCGGCTTTCAGTACTTCTGAGTACTTTGATTTATATATACGTGCTTAAATATATATAGATTGAAAACCCTCAAATTTGTTTGTTTCAATATAGCGTTCCTTCGAGATCTTTTCACTCAAACTGGATCGACACAACTTGCCGATGGATGGCTGCAAATTAAGACCCGTATTACAAATACTAATACATGTTTCGATTTAAAAGCTACATATACATGTATCTTGCGACATGAATTGTTTCCGAGTCTAAGCCGGTTTTTTTTTTTCTCAGTGAACTTTTTTCATAAAATATATTTTTCAATGCCATAAATGTTTCTTTATTAATACTAGTGTTACATGCCTTCTTTTTTTTATTTCAGGAAAAGCTAAATTAAATTGAACCCAGCCAGCATTTTCGAACAGTTCTTAACATCCTGACCGTCAAAATGGATCCCTTGTCAGCTGGCCTAATAGCAGTGGATTTCCTTTTGATTTTTACGATTATTTTCACTAACACATTTGCAATCGTCTTTATATTGAAGAAATCAAAGAGAAATTCTAAAAATTTACTTTTAGTTTCTCTTTCCCTTTCAGATATTGCTGTTGCAATTTTTGTCATCCCTAACGTTATTTTCTTGAAATTGCACAACTCTTCTGTAAGCCCAATGATATGCCAAATTTGCTTGTACGCAGAATACATGGCAAGTGCAGCAAATGTCTTTTCTATTTCCGTTCTGGCTTTGGACAGATTCAGAGCTTTAGTTTATCCTCTACAAAACAAGGACCCAAGACGCGAGGTGGTATACGGCAGTATTGTACTGATTTGGGTTGCATGCCTTTTCTATGCTATACGGGCACCTGTTGTTTTCAGGGGTAAGATGTTCAAAGTTGGAAGCGGCAACTCGACGACTGTAAAGTATGGATGTGCTGTACCAGACCCTCTTCTAAGTCTGCATGCTGGATTTATTGTGCTCGACTTCGTCATTCTCTTTGCCATCCCAGCTGTAATTTTAATTGGCTGTAATGTTAAGGTTTCTCTAGAACTGTTTAATAACACACCTGTAGCGTCCACGATGCCAGAGACCATAGCAAAGAGACGCAGAAGGGCCGTGCGAATTTTGCTTATCCTGATTTTAATATTCATTGTTCTCAATTTTCCGTTACATTCTTTTCGATTGGCCAGACATGTCTTTAAGCAGACTATTACTGGAGCGTCAACAATCGGACATGTATTTCTGATTCTTACCTTTACCAACAATTCCTTGAACGTTTTCTTCTACGCTTTGTTAAACGAGGACATAAAGACGATCTGCTTGATGTGTTGCAAAAGGGGGAAGAAATCAGGTAGTTCCTTCAGCTAGTACTAATCAAACAAATAAGACAATCCAACAACCAACCAAGAATCCGCATGTGTCATAGTGTATCCAGGAGTGATGAATTATAATTTTGTTTGTCAGTCATTCTACGATTACAGAGCCAATTCATGGTAGATGTACATGTACTTATATACATATATAACATGAAAAAATAAGTAGCTTTATATAGCCAATTTACACATATAAACAAATTCTCTAAACAATGTTTCAGTACACTTAAAAAAGTATACTAGTAATCTGATCTCGTTGTAATTATATCATGTACAACAATTCAGAGATAAATCTGTAACTTTGGTCATAAGGAAGTGTAATCGAAACTCATGATTAAACAGGACTCTTTAATAAAATCTATTAATAAATTTTGACGTTGAGTATAGAAAGGTATAACAGTTTTTATGTCTTGCAAAAATTTAGTATAAAGTTTAAATTTAAAATATCGTTACGGAAATCAATTGTTACGGAAGTTAATTTTCAGTAATAAAAGTTGATTCTCAAAAATAGATAATTATGATTACCGTTCGTTTTAAGATTTTGATGAAAAGAATGAAGTAGTTCGCTACCAAGATAACTTTTAGAATACCTTATTAATTATTCCTAAAGTACAAAAACAATTTAAACATTCATATACATAACCGTTACGGAGATGAATTTTTGACAGAAACTGCGAAGAAATTTATTTTCTCGTATATCATTTTATTATATCGAAAATGTCTTTAAATGAGGGATTCTAATTTCAAGTCAAATAATATTTTACTTGAAAATAGAATCAGTCATATTAAGTTTCCGTGGTCATTTTTCGGAAGTTCCGGGGGGTAGGGCTGGCCCACAATAGGGAATCCAAGTTTTACATCGAAATATATAGGATTTTTTTTTTTAAATCTTGTTCTCAAGAACCGATGTCCCTGAAAAGCTGAAACTTATGTGGAAGCAACCTGTGGAAAGGTAGTTTCTAAATTCTTAAAATCATGATCCCCAGGGGTAGGACGAGGCCACAATAAGGAATCCAAGTTTTACATAGAAATATATAGGAAGAGTCTTTAGATTCTTCGCAAGAACAATTGGCCAGAAAATCTGAAACTCATGTGGAAACAATACTAGTATGTGGAAGTGAAGAATTTAAATTGTTAAAATCATGAACTCCCTCCCCCTCCCTCCCCCCCGGGGGGTTTGTTCACAATTGGTATTTCTGGGGGTAATTCTGTTAAAAAAAAACGACATGTATCTAATTTATTATTATAACGAAAAGGTATTCGTTCCTGTAACAAAGATATTTTCTAAAAGTTTAGAGATCATGTATGCTATTAAGGAGGCTGGGGGGTCAACAATTTAAACACAAATTAACCACAAGATTTAACTTATTTTTTTAGCTATGGTATCTTTAGCTGTCAACATTCATTTGGCAAAGAAAAAAATCATAGATTTTAATTTTAAATTTTGACCATTTTTGTATATCTTTATATGGAGCTCTTCTTTTAAAGGAGATCGAAATAGTCTAAAAATGGCTGCCACACCCCAGCCTCGTTAATTCAAGTGTTTGTGAAACATATGGAGATAACGAACAGTATTCAAGATCAGAAGTCCATAAAACAATGCAAAATAGGAGCAGAGCAAACATGGACCTCAAAAACGTCAGATGTGGGATTAGGTGCCATAGAGGAGTGAGCATCCCCTGCCGATCGGTCACACCCGCCGTGTGCTCCTTGTCGGAAAAATCCGTCGTCAATTCAATGTATAAACAAGCTAATTCAGAGAATTCGTGTCCCCCGCATAGGGAAAAAGTCGGCTCCCCTGACTGAATTTGTAGAATTATTAAATGTTTACATGTATACTGAAGCAAATAAAATACATGTATGTCAATATGCATATAAAGATTTGATTGCTTATTCTTCATTATGTGTATAGAAGATTTCTTTGTATGGAATTTTTATCACACTGTAATGATGATTTTATAACCTCATATTTTTTTCATTTCACATGCTGAATACTATCATTTAGTTAAAAAAAAAGTATTTAAAAAAAAAAAAAAGTTCGATCGAGATTCTCTCACACTGGAAGCGAGAGACATAACCACTAGACCACGGAATCGCTTGACATGTTGCGAAGTATATGCAGAAGTGAAGTCACATACATGTATATATTCATGTTTTCATGTTCGGTATTCTCAAAATTTTACACAATCCATGGTGTTTGATTTATTTAGCCTTTGTTAAACAGTTCTAATAGATGTAACAAGTAGAGCTTTTTTAAAAAGCTTCCCGTCTTTAGCAACAATCTTAAACTGTAAACTGATCTACACCTATCAGGCCGTATAATTCTTTTGAATTTCTTGATTTTGTATTTCTACATTAGCTTTTTACTGGCATTAGCCCTACCACGGTTGTCGCTCGGTCATCTCCGTAAACTTTGACTCGCCACCTCGGCTGATTCCATTTCCTTCTTCAAACAAGAAAGGGGAAAAGAATAATAACAAATTGTAAAGCCTGCAAGCAATAAAAATCAAATTTTATTTATAATGAAGTTAAAGAGATCTTTTTATTTTTTGCTATACAAAAAATCATGTTTTTTTTTTTTAACATTTTATTTAGAAAAACAAAACATCATATACATGTTACACACAGTACATTTGATTTGGTAAGTTGAACAAGTACATTCTTTCTATTTGTCATGTAAAAATCATATGGAATAATTCATCACAAAATATCAAAATGAAGAAAAGTCATTAACAAATACAGCTGATTATCTTATGTATGATTGTATAGGTTTTATCAAAATTCAATGAAAAAAAAGTCATAAAAAATACAGCTGATTATCATATGTATACTTGTATATAGGTACCCTTATATATCTGGGAGACCTCACCTCCAGCTCAAACACAGTCTATTTATTGTCTCCCAGATAAGATTTGTAGAATAACAGGCTTATTCTACAATGGGTTTAAAAATTATAGTTTCTCTTTAATACATTTTATAACATTATAATATTTCATATGGTTAATTTTCTTATATACTTCACTAAAAATATTCAATATACTCTTCATATGATAACATATTTCTTGAGGCTTTTCTTCTTTGTTTTCAAGTCTACAGTACATTTTGTATTTGTAAATTTTACATGCAATCAAGGATATTATGCTATTCAAAAATAATATCTTTTCATTTTTTTTTCATTTTAAAATCCAATAACAATATTTTTCCATGATATATCAAATTTCAAAACTTGCTGAACAACATCCCACATATGAGAAACATTTTGACATTTTAAAATAAGATGTTCATTGTTTTCTTTTACATCTTTACAAAAAGCACACATTTCATTTTCAACAATTTTCCATTTCTTCAACATTTCTTTATTACACAATAAGTTATTTAATAATCTGTATTTTCTGTATACAAAAGGAATTAATTACTGCTGATTTTGTTGTTCGTTTTGTCATTTTTTTTAAGATTGAAAATCTTGCAAAATTGTTAAGTCGTACGAAAATTAGATCATCAGAAAGTTATCTCCCTTGCCTTGAACAGCATTTCAACCAATGAAATAATTGAAAATTTTCTCATCATGCATTTTCTACCAATCACAAAAGAGAGGAAGTGCATAGTCCGAAGACTGTAAAAAACTTCAACTATACAATACCGTCTTCCAAGGAAGACGGTAATAAGAACATAAAGTCCGCCGAGAACCTGTTTTATACGCAATAACTCGCCTCATGCCCCTGCGCTAAAAATAGCGACATGTAATACTATAAATACTAATAAAACAAACGGGGCGGGGCACTTTGAGAGGGGCGAGAGACGTCCTAGGGAGTTTTGATATAAAATTACATTGCATAAGCTCAAAATCTTCTTGAAATATCGCCCGGAAATAATAGTATTTCACACAGACAGAATGTATAAATTTACGACCTTGAACTTTGACCTTTTGACCTCAAAATCAATAGGGGTCTTCATTAGGCCATAGGGAGTTGTTATATAAAATTTCATTGCAATAGCTCAAATGGCTCTAGAGATACCGTGTGGAAACGAAAGTGTTTTAACAGACAGAATTTGCTTATTTATGACCTTGACCTTTGACCTTTTGACCTCAAAATCAATAGGGGTCTTCTTTAGTCCACAGGGAGTTGCTATGTTAAATTTCATTGCAAAAGCTCAAAGGGTTCTCGAGATATCGTGTGGAAACGAAAGCGTTACAGACAGACAGAAAGACGGACGGACGGACGGACGGACGGACAAACCCAAATTAATATCCCCCACTTTTCAAGCGGGGGACAATAATGGATTAACAATTAGTATGGAAAACGTCAGTCAGTATTTGACTCAATGATAAATTCTATGGTGACAAGTTTTGTTGTCTTAAAAATCTGATCAGCAGGGTGGGGTGGGTTGGATTGTTACACCTTCACTTTCAGGTTTCTTTGGTCTTTCTCAATAGTTTTATAGTATAACAAGTATATATTGATATAAAGAATATTTCCTCTTTGAAAAAGCCTTGCATACAAATAAAGATTTTTTACTATCATCTGAACTATATAATTCTGAGTGAACAAAACCATACCGACAGAAATTACGTACTCTTCATCACTGAACTGATCTGAATGTAAAATGATTTTAAAGAATACATATATTTCTTAATACCAAATTATTAATAGTAAATATGCAAGTTCATGTTGTAACTTTTGAGTTTACAAGATCTGTTACCCGGTAGTTTTTAAATATACAATATTACAGAATTACAACATTTAGGACTATTTCCACTTAAGCTTGGACTTTCAGTAAGGCGTGGCATTCTCGACATTACATAATTAGCTTCTGTTTACACAGCTTTCCTTCACTGTTGAAATATACATGGGATAGAAATTCGGACAAATGTCAAGTAGTGTATCGAATAACCAATAACATTGTCTCTTCCGGCAAAGAGGTGGAGCTTAAGTCGTCGCATCATTGTCAACAAGAATTTAAAGTTCCTGAAGTTATTAATTTCTTAAGCAATGA